GAAAGCTTTGAGCCTAAAAGTTTGTCTCATAGCTGAGACTATTCCTTAAGGGTGTCTAGAGACAAGCCTAGATACTCCAACCTGTGGCAGTGGTCCAGCAATGACCTTACTCAGACTAAAGATCCAAACAAAACTCTATAGAGTTTGTACTGTCTGGCAGCCTGCGACTGCCAGGGACAGGGAAGACTCACTCTTTAGCAGGAGGTCGTCCCCACAACATGAATCTCTTGAGTACTGAGCATAGCGAAAACTGGGGCAAGCAACTTGGTGAAAACCTGTGGGGTTGTATATAAACCAAATGTAAGGGGAACAAACTAGTAGTGCCATGCGCCTACCGCAAACAGTAGATACAGTTGGTGTTGTGGAAAAATGGAAATGTGTAGGTAGAATTACTTGAGGTCTATGGAGGTCAGAAAATTCTCCAGAGAAAGGGAAGTAATGACCAACCTGACATTCTCCATGCCAAATTTTTCACCCATATGAACAAGTTGAGAACTTTTAAATACAGAAAGGGAAGGACTTCCCCACTGGGCTGTGGAACTGTAAAGAAGTTTGAGTAGAAACCTTGAAATTGTTCCATTGTAGGATACGGGGCGATAAGTCCCTGGGTCAAAAGCAGTTGTGCAACAATCAGGAGACCTGCTTGTCGAGACAGGAAATGGGGCGTGTTTGACAGCATAAAGCGGGGCAGGGCAGAGTGCAAGACTCCAACTTGTAGTCCTAGGAAACAACACTGAATCCACAGGTCTGGCTGGGAGGGCAATGTTCTCTTTCAAAATAACAGTCTCATCTCCAATGGCATGGGTAGACAAAGGGATGAAAGAAACCTACTGGTGGCAGCACAAGCTTTTTATTTTGAGAAAGGAGAGCACTTTTTCCCCCTGTAATTGCCTACAGCATCAACAAGAGTAGCTATAATATTCTTTAGCTTTGAAGAAATTTCTGTACTAGGAAAGGCCTCTTATTCCAATGTGAGCAAGTGATCTTCTCCAGTATCCACCAAATTATGCATGGCTCAATGGCTAAGTCTAAGACTGAGTTAGCAAGGAGGCCGAAGGGGCAAATTTGTGACCTCAATTGTCTATGGCCTCAATAAGGCCATAAATTCTTCCCATGAATTCCAACATTGCGGCAGAAAATCCCTCTCTGAAAGAAAGGAGGTGGCTGGTGTGGCCGACAGGCCGGCTAAATGGCCCGAGGAAGGCAGCAAGGCAGAATGGAGATCACTATTAGAAGATAAGGTACCCAAACCCTGAACCACTGTACTCCTAAGGGAGCTAAAGGCTGAGCTCGGGCTATTGAGCCCATCAGAACCCCTGTTTCTGTGCTTGCAATCTCCCATGCCTGGTATAAAGTTGTCCTCAAAGGGGTACTCCCAATCCTCTGCAGTAGTGGGCTGGGAGTGCGATGTCTCAATGCAAGTACCTATAGGCCACAACCCAGGCATATGGAACATCACCGTTAAAGCTGGCCATAGACGGGTTAGTTTTTTTTTTTTATTCAACCAGTGGACTGAATGAAAAAAAAAAAACTGACCCGATTCCCCCATCCACACATTAAAAGTGGATGTGGAAATCCTCCTGCTGTATCATTGTATTCTGATGGCAGGGAGGTTTCCCCATTGTCAGAATACTCTGATCAGCATGGCAGGCTATAGCCTGCAGTGTTGATCGAGAGGAAATTTTTCAGCATGGCGGTTCTACTTATGTACAACCACAGTGCCCATATATGTATCAAAATTTGGCCAGGCCCTGCTGAACCAATAGACTTTCGATCCAAATATGGACAGCTTAATACTGTACCAAAAGAGAAGTACAAAGAGGCAGGGAAGGGCCACATAGCCTCAGAAGCCACCTCTGACAAACGGCATCACAGGTTCAGTATGTGCCACAGGTAGCGCAGGCACCTTAGTGCCTTAAAAAAAAAACCCCAAAAATTGTAGTGCTGTCATCGCTTTAACATAAAATATCACACGCGTCAGCTGGAGCTTTTAGATAACGTCATCATGTCAGATGGAACTCAGAAGTGCAGTATCTTATATTAGCCAAATACCAGCAATTGTATTGTGGGGCTAAAAATAATTAGCTGAAGTAAAAAAAAAAAAAAAGGTCCCAGTTAACAGGCCATTTAGGACCTTACATTTTGTATGTGGTTCATAAATCAAAAGTGAGAACACAACAAGTGAAGGGATTTGCACAAGAGGTTAATAAAATGTACTTAATGTGCACTGTAAGCAGCACAGAACACTGTGTGACAGACTATTTTATATGGACACGTTATAGTGAAAGACTCATGTTTTGAGACATTTTGTGTAATATTGTGGTAAAGGTACAACAGTGCTACCCTTTTCTTTGTTTTTTTTTTTAAAGTTTTATACACATATGAGCTATGGTATGAGTGTTGACAGCTGTAATTGAGTTAATTTTGTAGTTTTGATGTGTACAGTGTTTTTAATTAGCAGCATATAGGGAGGGTTTAGTAATTTTTCACAGTAAAAATGTTATCTGTTGCCAACCCAAACTTGGTGCACTCTAAAATGGAACAGCGATGGGAAATACCTCTAGGGGAAGAAAACAATTAGGGCATTCTGGGATGAATGTTTAAAGATCTTCTGCCCTGTACTCACCAATCAGTCTGTCAGCAGCAGACTGGCGGTAGCCTCTAGCAACCCACTGGCCGGAGTCCCTCAGGGTGCGGAGTCTAAGCCTCAGTCTGCTGGTTCACAAGAGCCCCTGATGGTGGGGATGGACTTGAAGCAGCCTGAGACCAGGTCGCGACCCCCGAGAAACACAAACTGTGGTAGAGGTGGAAGCCAATGGCGTGGAGCAGGTGAGAGCCAGACGTGAAGAGGTATGAGTGGTCAGACATGCCGGGTTGGTAACAGCGGAGCAGACAGTACAGAGCGGCAGGTAGAAGAATAACAGGTCACAAACTGGGTTCAGTAACAGGAGGTCAGGCAATCAGGATCAGGCAGAAAATAGTCAGGACTAGCCAGGGGTCAGAGCAGCAGAAGACAGCAGTATCAGGAACAGGCTGGGTCGGAAACAAGGTATGAGGAACACAGGAGTAATCAAGACCATAAGGCAATTTGGAGATGCACAGGGCTGGTTTAAATAGGGCGCCCTGTGCTCTCATTGGTGCGGCCGCGATCGCTAATGCGCATGTGCGGCTGCCGCGATCGCCTAGGACTCAGTGCTCGCCGGCTAGGACGAGTCGGTGCTCTGCACATGTGCGCACCACCGAGACGCCAGAATACCTGACACAGTTGCAGGAATAGGAGAGATTTTAAACACTTCCTGAATTTGCCCTCCCCTGCAGGAATCTTCAGAGACTGGGAATTGTGCCAGGCAGACCCCAGCTCTGGACCTACTGTATATGGCATCCTGTGGCTAACTCCACTCTAATGAGTCAACCAATCCAGAAGCTGCCAAAAAACAGTAGTGATTATGACGCAACCAAGTCTCAATAAAATAATTACTGTGTAAAGGTACTAAGATAAGGTTCTTTCAATAGAGAGACGGAGGTCCCTCACCTTTGCAGTTAAAGGTGGTCAAATAGGATTTATTATTCAAGATTGACACCCATTAGCAATCCTACTCTGCCATTTCATAAACAAACAAGTTTATCCCTATAGATATAGACTTCTGAAATATTAACATTCATTTTGAGGTTTACAAAATGCTTGCAAATACTTTTTTCATATAAAATCAACACACTATGGGCCACAGAAGTTCACCACTTAGTGACATTATCATCCTCACGATATTTTAACGCATCTTATGTTATACATTTATTAAGTGTTGTTTTGTTTTATACGCATTTTATGATATTCACTTATGATATTTATCAAGTTCTATGCTGCACATCCTATTTTAGCGCTGCACCTTTATATTGGCACTTTTTTTTGGAAGGTTTATTTGGTTGCCTTTTTTGGTGTTTCAGCGGCTATTTTCCTTTAAGATAGCGCTCGCTCATTTATCCTTTATTTATGATAGGCATACCCCTGCAGGGATCTTCAGATCGGTGCCAGGGCTCTGTGCCAGGCAGGCCCCAGCTCTGGACCTATATAGCATCCTGTGGCTAACTCCACTCTAATGTGTCAACCATTCCAGAAGCTGCAGAAAAGCAGTAGTGATTATGACGCAACCAAGTCTCAATAAAATAATTACTGTGTAAAGGTACGAAGGTAAGGTTCTTTCAATAGAGAGACGGAGGTCCCTCACCTTTAAAGTTAAAGGTGGTCAAGTAGTTGGACAATACTAAACCATATACTGCATCTATGACAACAGCATAGCTTAGCAGTAGTAATATAAGTGTGCTTAACTGAACTGCCTGCTGTCCAGACCTTTCACTAATTGAAAATATTTGGCACATCTTGAAACAAAAAATATGGACAAGACGACCCAAGACTGTTGAGCAGTTAGAATTCCATATCAAGCAAGAATAGGACAACATTCCTCTCCTAAAACTCCAGCAAATTGTCTCCATCCCAGATGTTTACAGAGTGTTTTTAAAAGAGTTGACACTACCCTGTGGTAAACAAGGCTCTTTTTTTTTTTGGTATATGTTGCTGCCATCAATTTCAAAATTACCTTATTATTTTCTTAAAATGGTGCATTTTCTCTGATGAAATATTTGCATTTGATAGGTTTTCTATTTTCTAAAATATGGGTTTATGAGATTTTCAAATCATTGCATTCTGCTTTTATGTAGATTTTACACAGTGTCCCACCTTCTTTGGAATTTGGGTTGAATACATATTGAAGCAAATACTGCAAATCCTACAAAGCAGTGCATGCCACTCTCTTATTTCTAAATCATTAGATCACATCTGTGTGTCTAGCTTTGTAGTACAAATGGTGAAGGACAGGGTAGGGACTGGTGTGTAAATAAAAGTGTGCATATAAGCCACTAAGATGCTTGCAATTTCTAGGTCAAATTCTGTGTCTTGAATGTTATTTCTGATGAACCAATAGGGGTTTACATGAAAAATGTCTCACCAGACAGTCCCTTTGTAAGGTCTTAACCAATGCACTAAAGGTATCCGCATCTAGAAGCAATCCTTCAGGTGAATCTTGTATGAAGTCCAAGTCTTTGTGCGTAGGACATGTTTTCTCTCGCTCTTTTTTGGAAGCACGTCTTTTATAGGTAGAGCCCTTAAGGTCATACTTAAAATGCATACGGACTACCCGTGGTAAGATATTGTTCATCACAGCAACACGGATATTCTTCCCGCCTGACTGAACACAGTACAAGCCATAGAACTTGGGCAAGAGAGTCCGAGGGTTTTGGTTAAGGTTCTGTAAAGGTTGAAGAAAACAAAAGGCTACTTTTAGGTATACACATATAGTAAAGAAACTGTAACTCCTATTAATCTATAAAACATATAGGGATTTATGTATTAACATGTTTTTATGGAAAGTTAGCATTCCTAAGCCACCAATCAGCATCAGACTTCCCCTGAAAGTTTGATTCTGATTAGTGGATCTGTGGAAACACCTCTAGTACTTGGTAAAGTGGACAACAAGGCATTGGGGTTGATTTGCTAAAACTGGAGAGTGCAAAATCTGGTGCAGCTGTCCATGATAGCCAATCAGCTTCTATCTTTAGCTTGTTCCATTAAGATTTGACAACAAAAAAACTAGAAGCTGATCGGTTTCTATGCAGAGCTGTACCAGATTTTGCACTCTTCAGTTTTAGTAAATCAACCCCATTGCATCTATAGTTTGAGGTATAGAAAAGACTCACATTAGAGACAGATTTGCAAGACAAAAAAACTCACATACAGTTCATACCATGTAATATCCAGGAAGCAGTTTCTGAAGGAATTCGGCCTCTTTATGCATTACTGTCTTGATAATAAATTCATCATCACTTGTGACATAAAATAGAGACCCACTTGCCCCAGGGTTAGAAAGCTCAATCAGAGGCTCATTGCACAGAGAATACTGGATTAAAAAACAGAAAGAAAAGAATTCAAAATGAAAACATAGTGACCACTACTTTTTATGTGACACAAACTGGTAAACTGACAAAGGTAATAATTTAACATGTCAAAAAATAAAACACCAATCAGTGGGCATTGATGTCAGTGGAACATAAACATATCCCCAAGTATTGGTGTCAGTGGGCACAATAAGAAGTCATAACATCGGTATCAGTTAACAACAATAACTCCCAACATTGGTGTCGGTAAACCCAATAATAACTCCCAACATTGGTGTTTGTGAATGCAATAATAATCCCCAGCATCGGTGTCAGTGGACGCAATAATAACCCCTGCATGGAAGCTGTGACTGCAATATTAACCCTAAGCATTAGTGTCAGTGAACACAATAATAACCCCAGCACTAGTGCCAGTACTATTAACCCCCCTACCCGCCTTGCACTGGTGGTCAGTCACAGTGAAATTTAACCCCCACTCCCCCTCCTGTCCCACATTGGTGGTCACTGGCAGTAAAATTTACCCCCCTGCAGTAGTGGTCAAGGGTAGTGAAATGTAATCCTCCTGATTGGTGGTCAGTGGCAGTGATAGTTAAAAAGTGAAGCAATACAATAAGGTAGAAGTATATCCTAAAGAAGAACTTCGGAGAGGCAACAAAATCACCCATTAGTACAAACCCTCTACATAAAACACTAAACAGTTATTAAAATTTTGAAATGCCTTATCATTTAGGAGAAAAGTCTAACTGAATTTTCATGACCTCATCTAGGTCATTCAAAAGATCACACCATGTGCTCTGCCAAGGAGGAGGTGTAATAGCAGGGATCATATCCTAGCCTCTCTCTGCAGTAAAATTAAACTACAGTTCCCATCATCCACAGGGAATTGAAGTGAATGTGGGTGGGTACACTAGGCCTGTAGATGTCAACATCTACATTCAAATGTGTGAGAGTCTTGGTCTGCCCACCACTGAAAGTGGGGCTGCTTCCTGGAGAAAGAACTACAGAAGGGATGTGGGGACTAGGAGTTATACCAGCCACTAGTCTTACAACGAGGAAACCAAAGAGAATTAAGAGTTTGATTTGAAAATGAATAGGCTATTTCAGTGCAACTACGAACTGAAGATGATGACATATTCGATGAAGGTAGGAAATCAGCAACAAGGACATGTAAAGATGTTTTTGCATGGAATTCTGCTTTAAGCCATTGGTGGTCATCTTGGAAATAATAGAGAGCCTCAAGTGCAGCCCCTGACAGTATCAGAGAACCACACAATTGCAATGCATTTTCGCACCTCAATGCCCACAAATTTCGGTCCTGCTGTATTTCTTGCAGCTTATCACAACGCACACTGAAGAAGTTGGGAGTAAAATAATCCCCAGCATTGGTGTCAGTGGACACAATATACCCCCAGTACTGGTGTAAAAACTATTAACCTTCCTAAATTGCTGTCAATCAAATTCAGTGAGGAGGAAGCAGGGGGTGGGGCTAAGCCCCGCTGTGCGTGTCTATGGAGTGCAAGAAACAGGACCTATCAACAAACGAATCCACAATATCTAACAGCAGGCTAGTTTTTTTTTGTTGTCTTTATTTTGGTTTACCAACAAAGCACACTATTAAACAACCAAAATAGGTGAACAGGAAAGGAGGATACAATCATGACGACCCATGTCAGTAAAGCTGACCATAGATGGAGCGATTTGCTTTTCTGCACCCCATGATTGCAGGAAAGAAAACTTCAAGATTTGTCCATCAACACAGTCAGTGTTGATGGGGGAATCCCTCTCATGGAGCCATTGTATTCTCCCGTTGGGGGGCTGGGGGGAGCAGTCCCCACTTGGAGAACACAGCAATTACTGCTAGTGGCTATAATAGCCGCTAGCAATAATTGCATGTAAAATCTGACAGGCTAGTTGTATCCAAATTCATTGCACAATTAACTTGGTTACATTCAGCCCATCCATATGGTTTGAATCTCGACCAGACACTGCTGAACAGGCCAAGTTTCGAACTGTCTATGGCCGGCTTAAGGCAGATGCAGATTCTAAATGATAAACACATTATACAATTTTTTTTATGGGTGCCGAAGGTTTCACTTTTACCAGCACAGTAGCTGTAACTAAATCGTATTGTCATTCTTGCTTCAAGTAAATGCAGCTAGTAGATAAAGCGGTATTAAACTCAAAAGCAAACATTGATTTTTGCTGCAGCTTACCAGTTCCTAGAGGCGGCTGCATTCGTTTTCTTTTTTTAGGCTCTCTTTCTTTTATTTTCACCTGGTGATCCTGACACTATGTCTATCTTTTTCAATAGAACAAGCTGTCTTGCAGCTGTAGCAGTTTGAAAGTTGAGACAAACAATTCAACACTGGTGCTTTGCCTAGAATGGCCAGCTTTATTTACGTAAAATCTTTATCACAAAAGGAACAAAAATGTTGCTGTAACTGCCTAAAAAGAGTTAGCTGGAGTTTGGCTTCAATTTGTTTAGTGACTCTAAATCTGCTAGAACAGCTAACACTACCCTCAATTAAAGACACAGTCCATGGACTTTATAGTCACAGAACAAAAACTGTTAAAAGTTATTACAATCTTTATTAATGCACAATTAAAAATCAATAGAGATCACATTAAAATTATAGTAGCATCCTGTACCCTAATGGTGGTGGCTCCTCACTATAAGAGGAGTACAGACTATGCAAATCAATAATACATGATACAGTTATAGTATGTACAGGGGTGGCCACCATCCATTTCCATTGAGCTCAACAAGTTTCATGCATATTGCTTCAGAAGCAAAAGGTGCAAAGATTGGATTGCTACACAGAGCATAAGCAAGGAAAGATACCAAAACTGGTATGCCACAAAGTCCAGCCCAATCCCTCAAGGACAATAAAAATACTGTACTCACAAGATAGTCATCAGGTCGAATCCCAAAAAGTTCTCGAAAGTATCTGAAGGCGACAGGAGCATAGGTCTTAAAACGGAAGTCTGGATAATGGTGGGCAGGTGTTAGATTACTTCCTTCACTGCAAATAATGAAATGGGTGAAAAAGTTAAATTACCAATTGGCATTGCAATACATTGAAAATGGAGTAATTCTTACCTTGGAAAGAAAATACTTTCCACAACATAGAAATCCTGCATCAGGACATCCCTTTCTGGTTTGGAAGTTAAGTTTCCAACAGTATATCCAATACCCAACTGGATGGCACCTTTTAAAGTTGATGATGTTGTCTGTGGAAACAAAGCCCACCACAAACTATGTGTTTTAATTTTGCCAGTTGTAATTTACTGTAATATATACTGTATATTGTATTGACATTCTGTAGCACTCAGCAAATACACTTCTTCATATCAAAGTCAATTAAAGAGTATGTACACACAAACTATGAACTTTCCTTGTTTGCACTCTTTCTGCCTGTTAAACATACCATTGAAGATTTCTGCTATGTGAAGCGTATGCTCATACCAGACTAAGAAGCTACTAAATAAGCACACTGACTATGGACCATGCTTTGGCAGGCAGAGGCTTCTCCCAAATGGCACTGGAAATCATCTCATCTTAAGTTAGATGTCCTCCAACCCTTTAGAACAGGCAGCATTTGTCATCCCACAGAGGGAACTCTTCCTATTTGTTCCACCACTACCCCTTTCACACGGGCATCATCCGATCAGTCACGATTTTTCAAAGGAAAAACATACTCAGTTGACATCAGTTTTTACATCAGTTTTCAGTTCAGTTTATGTCAGTTTACTTCAGTTTTCACATCCGTTTATTTCAGTTTACATCAGATTATATCAGTTCAGTTTACAATCAGTCTACATCTGTTTTTGCATATGTCTTTACTTAGTTGTTGCAGAGACCAATCAGAAGTATGTACAAAAAATTTTCTTGCCTAAAAATGGACATAAACAGAACTGATATAAGCAGATGGCATCTATTTACATCCGTTCTATTATGTTTCAACAGCTCTGGATGTACCCTTGTACGTTTAAAAAAACCAGACTGTAACGGACACAGATGTAAATGGATGGTAACGGATGATCATCCGTTCACATCTGCTGGTCCATAGAAATACATTGTCTGTTTTTCATCCATCAGTTGACAGATGAAAAACGGAGAGCAAATGGTCCGCCCGTGTGAAAGGGGTCTAAGAATGAACCTTTTCACGCCGACAGTACGCAAATATGTGGTCTCTCGGTGGCTGAGCCTTAACGCTGAGTGGCCGCATATTTTTGTATCATTTGTAAACAAACGTGCTGAGAGCGCGAGTCCTGCGCGCCCGGCACATGTGTCAGAGTCCCACAGAAAGGTCCCGATCTCTCCTTGCGATCGGGACCTTTCCGATCATGTGACTGCCGTGACAGGCAATCACGACGGTAACATGACCCTAAACCCTGCCCCCGACATCATAAACTTCTTAAAGGGCCGGGAGGCGCCAGCATGAAGGGGTTAATCTTATGCCAAACCATGTACTTTGATACATCTCAGGAACTCTTTCATATTCCCTACATAGCCCCTGTTAATTTTACTCATTATCTAATAGTTCACATTACCTCTGCTGCTCTCCCTAATATCAGAGAATTATTAATATTCTCATTTGATGTCACTGCATTTGCACAGGTTTTATGCATCTGGCCAGATCCATTGCAAGATTCAACAATGTGAACTCCTAATATACCATGGTTTTAAACTGGGGGTGTTGGATTCACCCATACTCCACCTACTTTAAAGTACAAGGCCTCTATCCTCCAACAAAGCAGGCTAAAGTATTTTAATTTTTATATTCTTATCAAATTGATGTAGAATGTGTACAGGCAACCCATTTTCAACAAACCTCTACCAGTAACTATTTCAGTGTCCATTTCCCTTTAATCTTTCAAGCTGCAGCTTAAACTAAATCAAAGTGGGATACTAATAGACTTCAGGAAAAATATTCATTTTGATTGCAAAAAGCAGATTGCAGACCCAAAATGGCATTACTTGTTACAAGGCATACTCCAAAATGCTATTACTTTCCTTACCTATCACACTTCCAGTTCTCTTCAAACACAATTTTGTCACAAATTCTTTCCTTTCCTGAACCAATAATCCTATGTGGGGACTCCAATCTCATTCTTAACCCTAAACTAGCTAAATCCCAGTTCACACCTATGCATTTACTGTGACTTGTGTTTGCGCGGGCATAGCAGCCCATTCATTTGAATGGGCTGTTGTACCTTCAAGAAACACAGGAAAAAGGTTCCTACACCTTTTTAAAAATGCAGTCTCTGCAGATAATTAGATGTTACTCTTATTAGCTGATATAGAAAAAGCATTTGATACTGACAGTATATGTTATATGCACTGCAAAAATAGGGTTTACAGAAAAAGTTTTGAATTGGCTAGCAATTCACACCTACAGACTAACCAGTATTGTGTATTTTATCCCCCCATTGCCCAATGTAAGAGGCACATGTCAGGGATGCCTACCTCCTATTTTATCCATACTTGCTCAGAACCCCTTGCTCAATACATACATCATCATGTAGACGTCAAGGGCCTAGAAACAGCAGGGATAGAAAACAATATCTCACTATTGGTGGGTGATATTTTTCACATGTGTTTCCTTGCCTTGTCTCTTTGATATCCTTGATAAATTTGAGGTGAGCTTAGGCCTAATGGTGAGCCAGTCCAAGGGGGTGGTTGGGGGGCACAGTCACAGATGGAGTGCAGTTCTCTGCGTGAGTGTGGTTTATGCTGGAGTGTGAAGATACAGTTGAACACAGCAGTTTAAAAGCAGAATAACTCAAGCAGCAGGAAGATATAACAACGAACTCTGCTGCACGCTGGATGGACTGCAAGCAAACACCCTGGGAAACATTTCCTACAAGTCTGAGTCCCACTCCGTGTACCTTTTAATATGCCACCTCTACTCCTCCTTTTCATATTACTATCCTGTGTTCCCAAAAATCTTATCTCTTTACCCCTCTGCTCCACCCCAAAGCTTATACATTTCACCTTCTCTGCTACCATGCTACCATCTCCCTACTACTGCTCTCATCACCTCCTGCTGATACTTTACTCACCTGCTGACCCAAACACCAGGACCGGAAGAGGCATGTACACTCTTATATATCCCGTTTCCATCTTACTTTCCTCACCCTCCTTCTCCTAACCTCTTGTCAGGAATGGACTAGCCAGCAATGGTGGGACTCACCTGCCTTTTGATCTGCAGTACCAGGGCTGGCCAGCGGGTGCTCCCAGCAATCAGAGACTCAACTTTGCAGCCAGCTAACACCTGGAACTGATTATGCTGGGGTATTTAAGAGATGGCCAGACTTGCAGACTCTGCCTTGGTGTTGTGTTCTCTTGGGCCCTGTATCCTGTTCCTGCTCTCTGTTCCTGTCTGATTCTCTGCTGACCCTGCTCTGATCCCTGGCTTGTCTGACCATCCCTCTGCCTGACCCTCTGTACTACGCTGCTTGCTACCTGTTCTGATCCCTGGCTTGTGACCCTGACCATCCCTCCGCCTTACCCTCTGTACTACGCTGCTTGCTACCTGCTGAACCTGGCCTGTGACCCCGACCCATCTCCGCTTGCTCCCCCTGTACCTACCTGCCCTATTGATATTGACCCCCGGCCTGCCTTGCTTGTATGTACTGTTATCTGTGGGTGGTTGGTTTGGTTTGGTTGCACTGTATTATGTTTTAGTATTGCACTGCGTTTATGTTTGTATTGTTAGTGTTAATAAATTATATATGTTTTATAACATATCTGAGGTCTGCGTTTCCCTGCGTCACAGCCACACACCTCTGGTCACACCTGGGAGCCCTGACACCTCTGGGGATATCTCCCCAAACCTTGGTCCTCCACTATTTCACCCTCACACCAGGCACCCTCTTTCCTCCAGGAATAGCCGCAATCCACTCAATTTAATATCAGTCCCCATGCTCCCGGAAACCACCCTCCCTTTTTCATGTGCACTCTGGAATGCCCGCTCTGTCTGTAATAAGCTCACCTCTGCCCATGACCTTTTTGTCTCCCGCTCCCTTAACCTACTAGCAATTACAGAAACCTGGCTTCAAGCAGCAGATTCTTCTTCTCCCGCAGCACTTTCCTATGGAGGCCTTCTCTGGACCCATTCACCCAGACCCAATGGTCGGAAAGGAGGTGGGGTTGGTTTGCTGCTATCCCCACTGAGCACCTTTCAAGTCCTCCCTCTCTATCCTTCTCTTCCTTCGAGACTCACCGCATTCGCCTATTTTCTCCCATTTCTCTGAGGATTGCAGTGATCTATGAGCCTCCTGGACCGGTGTCCTGCTTTCTTGATGATTTCTCCACCTGGCTACCCTACTTTCTCTACTCTGAACTACCCACTATCATTTTTGGAGATTTTAACATCCCCATTAATGTGAACAACCCAGCTGCATCCCAACTCTCCAACCTAACCTCATCTTTTGCCTTAGCGCAATGGACACAGTCCTCCACTCACTCCCATCACTGCACTCCCTATAACCTAACAAACACCCCCTTTCCTCTCTCTGATCATAATCTCATCACCCCCACAGTGTCCTCATCTTCAAACACCTATTCCTCCAAGCAGCAAACAATTACCCGCAGAAACAGTCATAACTTGAACCCTGCTCCTTTCCACTCTGCAACTGACCGCCTCTATGACAGAATCTCTCCCCTGTCCTGCCCTGACCTGGCCACTGATGTCTACAACAGTTTGCTTTCATCCACACTAGACTCACTTGCTCCTCTAACAACGCGAAGCATCAGGCCCCGACCATTACAACCTTGGCAGACTGACAACACCAGAAATCTTAAACGACACAGTGGAGCGATTGTGGCGTAAAACCAAATCTTTCACCCTATATAAATTTGCTTTCTTAACATACAATTCCTCCCTCCATGCTGCCAAACAAGCCTACTTTGTCACTCTCATCAATAGCTTATCATCCACTCCTCGTCGTCCACTTTTAACGCTCTACTTTCTCCACCTCCACCCAGCACCTCACTCACTGCTTACAAGATTGCAAATCATTTCAAAAACAAGATTGATGCAATTCGTAGGGGCATCTCCACTGCACAGACATCCATTCCACTTGGCACACCTTATGCTAAACCTCCCTCAATACTTTCCTCTTTTGACCTTGCTACTACCGAAGAGGTCACTAAGGTTTTCTCAGAAGTCTGTCTCACTACCTGCCTCCTGTCCCTTCACAACTACTACAGTCACCCTCTTCTTCCATCCTAT